ATACGATAAAACAACTAGCAAAGTACAACGAGTAGTCCTACTCGTTGTACGGTAAAACTGTACTTTCAGGGCCCAAAAGGTGATACTTGTTTTTTTTTGTAGAAAAGGTCTTTTTAACAGTTTTTTTTTCACAGGTCACAACACTAACCTAACCTAACCTAGTGTGAAGTATCACCACTTGATAAGAAAAGTGAAATTTTCAATATTTTTTTCTAAAAAACTACCAGTGCATAAGTGTGACATTTTTTTTAATAATGTGGTTAACAGAAACCTTTTTAACAACAAAAATGCGAAATTACAACCAACAAAACTGTGAAGTTTTTACTTTTGGGCCCTGGAAGTACAGTATATCCCGTTGTACTTTGCCAGTCACATACAAAGGTTTCCGTACGTATTTACAACATACTTCCAAACGCTCAAAAGAATCAATTATATTGTTGCATTTATGATGTAGGTAATGCCGAGTTGTGAAATGAATAACATAGACTATACTAATATTAGAAGAGGTAAAGTTTGCGAGTCTGTGTGGTTGTAGAGGGTAATCTCTGGATCTTCTTAACCGATTTTAAAAATTCTTTTGCCTATAGAGAGAGCCACGTTATTTGTCTTGCATAGGTTATATACTAACCCGAATGAAAAGGTCATTTCAAGGGGTTCCTTTTATCTGGTAGAAACTTGTTGCTCCGAAATTAATTTGGATTAACTTTTTTGTAACTATTATTATTTTTAGCCAATTGTTTATATGTCTGAATTCTCAATGGATTAATGGATAGTGTTAAGATGGCAGAATTTCATTAGGCATAATTCATTTGGCAAAAAAAAACTTGAATAATTTAATTAAACACAATCGCTGTTTGTGGTCAGTGAGTTAGGTTGGTGTGGTGACCCAGTCACCTTAGATAATAATAGATATAAATAAAATAAATAAGTTAAATATTTTTGTAAGTATGATACAAGACAATACTGACTGTGAACTTTCTGAAGCAGAACAATCGTATTGATTGTATATAGTCTATTCACTTTGGCGTGAGACAAAATGTAAACTATAGTAATATAATATTATATTAATAGTAATATTATGACATAAAAAGTTATCTAGTTAAGGTATACACAAGGTAGACCCATTTTCAGGCCAACACAGTAAGGATGGCCAAAGGGAAACATTAGATGGGCTGAGATTATTTGCCGAAACAAATGGTTGTAAATCGGAAATAAATATTTTTTATCCGATTTACAACCGACGATTCTGCGTTTGGATAATTTTCTAATCATTTAAACCAATCCACGCTTTATCTATAACTATAAGTCTTCAGACATAATGTGCTGACGCAGCGTAAATGTCATCTGACTAGCAGCCACGCCCTTTCCTAATTAACTGCGAACTGAAAATCGCGTGGTGTAATAAGCACTTTATTCTGTGGTGCGCAAGTATTCCATTTAATTCGGTAATTGAAGTTGATAATAATGGGGCTTGATAATTACGAGCATTATAATCATTATGTGAAGAACACACATCAAAGAAGTTTAAGCAAAATGCATCATTGACGCAAACTGCACGTTTTATAAGCTGATATTTTACACTAGGTATCGTTATGAAATGTATAATTTATTCAGTTTACTTTCCTTTCCTCAGTAATAAATTAAATTGGTTATTATTAACAAAATAATGTACAGTATGTAAAATGGATCCTTCCTAAGAAGTTCATGTTGCTCAGACTCGTTTGATTAGTATACTTATTTCTTCTTCCTTTAATTAAATAGACAGACTTGAACATTATTTTGACGAAGGATTGTTGCAACAACAGCGCTGCTGCTGCCTTCTGCTCCAGTGGTCCTGGGTTCGAATCCCGGTAGGATGATTTATTTATCTGATAAACTCAAATATTTCAAGGCTCATTAAGATGCTATGTTATTTAAGGAAAAATGATCCTCATGATTTACCCTTTCGAAGGTTATCATAAAATACATTTTTTAAATCACAACTTTCCGTGAAAAAATTTTTTAAATTCGATAATATTGCCTAAGTCAGATTTCTGAATAAGTCTCAGCTTGGATTGCATGTCTTTTTATATGAAAAAACAATTGAATTATTTTATTGTTTTACGTTCTAATACTAATTTTAAAATTTAGAATCTTATCAGAAAAAGAAATTACAAAAAAGTATTCTGTAATACAAAAAACAATCTATTTTTCAAAATGATCGCAAACTTTTTTTGATGGGTGTATGTACGTAAAAATAATAATAAACCTATACTTTACAAATATAGCACCGTTTCTTTTTTATTGAAGTTTGTGTTCAATTATTAAAAAATATCAAGGTGATTTTTTTTAGACGGTGAACACAGTTCTACTTATTATTAAAAATATAATAATGTGTTCTTTTCGTAAAATATTCTATCTTCAATATTTAATATACTTTCCATCCGTGTGACTAACCCGTGGGTCGCTCTGTATATTATAGACCAGGGTCGATAATTTTTGAGACCAAAAAAAATTATAGTAGGATGAAACCCATTAGAAAAGGTAGAGAATATAACAGAAATGAAAGGAAAAATAAATTACGGGCGATCTGAGGTCGGGAAGGGGGAGGGGGTGAGTTTTTAAGGGTAAAAAATAGTTAATCTCGATTTCCGGTAAAACTGCAAGTCCTATGAAAAAAAGTTAAATGGCAAAGTTGTAGGTAATAAAAAGATCTACAACTTTTGTATCGACACTTTTTTCACATAACCTCAAAATTTATGTGAAAAATGGGAATAACCGAGTTTTTGGTCTTTGATTTTTATTTTTTGCAAAAAAAAATATTTTTTCACGAAATTTGGTGAAAACTTACCTCTGTATGTCCCAAACATACAGTAATTTTTTTGATTTAAAATATTCATTTTTTCACCTTATTTTGACTTAATATCGAAAAAGCACCCTTATTTTCAATTGAAAATTCTCACGTCAAAATATCTGCTTTTTTTAAAAAATTGGGGTGTTTTTTGTTTGTTGAAATCTCTACTTGATGGTATAAAAAAAATATACACTACTGTGGTAAATGTTCTCAGAAACTGCAAATTAATAATGAAAAAAACTCCAATCCGAAAAATTGATTTGAATCATTATGTATAATTTTGAACTATTTATTAAAATTTACACTTTAATTACTCGAAAAACGTAAGATTTCATGTTATATTGATAAACAGAAAAATTACAAATCCATAAAACATGCAAAAATAATTGTTGTAAGTAAATATTACAAATAGGATTTTCGGATTCGAGTTTTTTTCATTATTAATTTGCATTTTCTGAGAACATTTATCATAGCAGTGTATATTTTTTTTATACCATCAGAAAGTAGAGATTTCAAAAAACAAAAAACACCCCAACTTTTTTAAAAAAGCAGATATTTTGACGTGAGAATTTTCGATTGAAAATTAGGGTGCTTTTTGGATATTAAGTCAAAATAAGGTGAAAAAATGAATATTTTAAATCAAAAAAATTACTGTATGTTTGGGACATACAGTGGTAAGTTTTCACCAAATTTCGTGAAAAAATATTTTTTTTTGCAAAAAATAAAAATCAAAAACCAAAAACTCGGTTATTCACATTTTTCACATAAATTTTGAGGTTATGTGAAAAAAGTGTCGAAACAAAAGTTGTAGATCTTTTTATTACCTACAACTTTGCCATTTAACTTTTTTTCATAGGACTTGCAATTTTACCGGAAATCGAGATTAACCATTTTTTACCCTTCTCTACTTTTTCTAATGGGTTTCATCCTACTATAGTTTTTTTTCACTTTTCACCATTTTTAAAATTAACGACCCTGGTCTATTAATGTTAGAAACGAAGACATCATAAGACAATATATTTTCCTATTAATGGTTTACATTTGAAATAACATAGATACTTTAATATTTACGCTTAACATCTAGTATTAGCCAACACGACAAGGCGAGCCAAGCGAAGCGCAAGTGCACTACGTCCTATTTCTATTAACGTTTCCTCGTTTATTACACACGGCAACACACGACTTACACGACTGCTCAAAAAAAGGGGATTTAAAAAAATACTGTAAGTAATTTTAATTTTTCCAACAGGAAAATTTTATATCCTGAAATCCCTGTAGACAAAGTCGCAAGCAATCGCGATCTTGTGAGCAACCTGGTAGGGACAAACTTCTCAAGAACCTTTATTCGTAGGAGCTTTAATAACACCATAACGATTTCGGAGTCATTTGAAACCACACCAACTTATGTCGAACACTTTTAAACGTATTACCCGGGATAATCTTTATAATATTAGTATAACTTTTTTAAATTAAGCAATTTCAATAAATGATGGAAATGATGTCATACGAGACCTCAGGTGGAGGTACATGTGCAATGTATACGAAAAATAAGACTTTTGTAAGTATTTATCCAATATCCATAATCATACATCATACCAATGTTGCTCGGGCTGTGTTTCTGTCAGCTAAAAGTTTTTTTTGTATATTTGAATTAGATAAAGGGGCCATTAAGCAAATCAAAAGCAAATTTTAGTTTTTAAAGTACCGATAACAGAACTTTAAATTGAATGTATAACTGAACGGGGATAAAAAATATATAAGTTAAATAGGTACCTATGTGCACTATGTACTTATACTAGCGAATGTCTAACGTTAAGTCTACAGAATTCTAAGAAAATGTTTTCTTTATTTTGCCCTTTTCGAGTCTTAACTTTATGACGTAAGTATATCTAAGATGTACATTTTGTACGATTTTTTAAATACCCTGTCTCATAGGAATGTTTATAAAAATATTAAACTCAAAAAACAGGTAAGCTACCAATTTGTAGTGACAAACAAATTTATTAATTTATGAAGTGAGTAAGTCGGAAATATTTGTATAGGGTTTGAAATCATTATAGTGTCATTTGCTAACGACTGATCCTTAGCGTCTTTTACCGTTATAAATGACCTATATAATGTTTAAATAAGCTTTTCATCATTTATTATCACTTGCCCTTTCCTAAACAACGGATCTCCTTATTTTGTTGCATTCGATATTCTATTCTCATAATGAAAACTGCTGGCATCGAAAGGACTGAGGCTACTACACGACCGAGAAAATATACCTGCGGTGGTTGCTGCAACTTACGATGAATATAAGGACATGGCGTGTCACCTCTTCTGGCGCCACGGCACTGAGAGCGTCAGCTGTAATAAGTGCAACGTGAGAAGGTGGCAGTTCGCACTCCACATCTGCTACGTGCTGCCCTTTTTTTTTTTTTTTTTTTGTGACGAGGGGAAATGCAGTTACGCACCATACCGTGACGCTGACTAGGCGCACGGCGTGTGTGGAAACTCCCCGGTACCCTCCTACGCCCATATGGGGGCGTCTCACCTTAGCGTGCGCCACTTCACTGGGACGTCCCCGGGCCGGCCCGGCCCAACGAGTGGACCGGGCGACGCGCCTCAGGGGGACTGCGCTAGGGTACTAGGCAGTCCCCAGACGTGGTGGCCTATGCCGGAGCGGCACCTAGGACGCGCGGCTGGTCATGCCGCGCCCAGACCACCTTAGGGCCGTCGAAGACCGGCAGTCACCGCTGCCTGCCTCCTTCGGCCCACCCGTCTACGCCGGAGAGGGGGGGCTAGAGCGTCCTCCTCCCGCTCCCTCTCCTACGTGCTGCCCTACGAAGACATCATGTTCGAGGAGTGGGCTGCGGAGTCGTCCAGGAGTATCAGGGAAAGCATATACTGTTACTGCGGAAAGGACGTGCCAGACGTACAGATGATTGGCTGCAACGGAGACGAGTGCCAGTACCAGTGGTACCACTTCGCGTGTGTCGGCATCACGGAGGCCCCGGACGGGAACTGGTTGTGTCCGACGTGCGTCAAATGACGTTGGCTTAAGACTATAAGCTGTCAACTGCGCATTCTAATAGTCTGTTTATTATCTTCTAGTTATACTTCTTAGTTTGTAACTTTCAAATTTTTATAAATATGTTTCAGATTTAAATTAGATTTTTTATACTATGAACAATATACTGTTTTGCTGAGTAGATACATTTATTTTATGTTTTCCCTTTTAAATTCTACACTACCAAGGCTGTGCTATGCACTTTATTAGGGACCCGAAATGGTAAGGCTGATGTAAAAATTGAATAAGTAAATTGCGCTTCAACATACGTTTGAAAAGTTTTTAAGTTTTGACATCTTTACAATTAACCATAGTATCATTTAGTTTTTTCTTTCTCATGTCCAATATTTCTTGTTACAAAAGTTCATTAACTTATCAAAATATATTTTTCGCTTCAAATAATATAATTAGTTTTAAGATTTTTCAATAAAACGAATATTGGGCGTAATGGCATATGAAACGAAAGTAAATCTTTCATAAAAATTAACAGTTATCAGTAAATTCGTTTGTTAACTTCTCATTTATTCACGCACCCGTGTGACGCGAAAAACAATCACTGTTTCCATTTATAACTACATATTTCTGAGTTTACATTTTAAAATATTTTGCAGAATTTTACACTAGCAATGTATTGGAACGTAATGTGCAGCTTTCGAACATTGTAGCTACTACATTGTTTTAATCATGAAGTTATTTTAAAACGTTATTTTTCTTTTTCACAGACTTTACTGTGGGATGAACTAGAGTGAGTAAGACTAGAGAGAGGAATGGAATGGAACTAGAGTTATAGCAATGAACCTTCACCTTCACTTATTAATACTTTTATGCATAGCTCTACGTTTTCCAAAGTATCATGCCAGTGTTTTTTTTTAATGAATGGAGTGCAAAAACCTGAGAAATAAATAAATAAAATTTAAATTAATGAAAGTTCTGTAAATATACAAAACATATGCTATGTATATTTGCTAGATTTTCCTAAAAACATACTTCTTGGTGTGTATCTACATATAGCCAGATCAAGTTATCTAAAACTATTAACTTTCCCCCATCGATTATGAACTTTTTTTTGTTCAATATAAAATTCAGTCTAATTATTTAGTATAAAATGAACAGCTTATAGTAACTTGATGTGTGGATGGTTGTACTTATAAATTATTTCATTTTTCCCTGTCAAGATTCCACACAATGGTACCGTAGGTATTTAGTTGTACGCAGTTTAAAATATCATACGTAAAAAATATACTGGCCAAGTACGAGTCACACTTACAAACAAAGGTGTTTGATTATTTGGAAGTGTGTAATGAACACGTACGGAATATTCATTACATACTTCCAAATCATCAAATATATTATTATATAATAATAATATGATGTAATCCTGAGCTGTGAAATAAATAACATAGACTATACTAATATAATAAAGTTTATATGCAGTTAAAAACATCATACAGTAAAGTAGTAGAACCTGGACTCGCAAACAAAGGTTTCCGTACCTATTCATCACATAGTTTCAATTATATTATTGCATATGATGTAATGCTGAGTTGTGAAATAAATAACATAACATGAACTATTATGCTAATATTATAAAGAGGAAAAGTTGGGGAGGTCATAGGATAAGGGTTATAGGGTTGCATCTACCGCTTTTGTTTTTTTTTTGCCAAAAGAAAGCCACTTTAATTCTAAGTGTTTAGAAGGCTTACCCGAAAATGAAAATAGTTTAACGCGAACGAAATCGTGGGCGGCTGGTATTCGTTTATAAAAAAGTAAAAATAAGAATACAGCATAACCTAACATTTTCTCCTTTCTTATCCTTCATTTGAAAGAAGATATAGCAATTATACTTATGTTTTTATTTATTTAGGCATTTAACTGCTACATGTTTAAATCTAAAGAAAAGTTTTACTAGAAAATAAATTCACGCGGACCTGGCCGCGGATGGGACTCGAACCCGCACCCTTCGCAATCTGTAGGTATATAATAATTCTTAAAACAATTGATGTAAATAAAAAATTACGGTTTTCGCTTATTTTGCTTTTCTGTGCTGTATACGTGGCTCCGTACCAAATTACAAGATTCTGAGTACACGGGAAGTACCCTGTAGGTTTTGATACCCTTGCGAGTTTCAAAAAACCGCGTAAATTTGCGACGTAAACGTCTGTATCTTTTGATTGCGTTGACTTAGAAATTTGATTTTTTCACAGCTTTAAGGGACAGTAGACCTGAGAGTTTGATATAAATTTCAGCTTGATTTCTGAGAAAAAGGGTTTTGACAGACGGACGGACGGACAATAAAGTGATCCCATAAGAGTTGCGTTTTTCCCTTCAAAGTACGGAACCCTAAAAACTAAAACAATAATAACGTTCGCCATTGATTTTTGTAAAAAAAAAATCTTTTCAGGTTGCCTTTCTCTAGCATAATCTTGTTGCTCCGAAATTAATTTGGACTAACTTTTTTGTAAATGTTATTATTTTGGCCGACGACAAAGACATACTGTTAATATATGCACAATTTTATTAGGCAAAATTCCTTTGACAAAAAAAACCAGCATAATTTCATTAATAAAAACAGTAAATAAATATCTTGTACAGCACTGCTGTTTAAGATATCTACCTACTACTTTATCTCTTATCTATTAGACAAGTCCGTCCGTCCGTCCGTCCGTGGTGCTGTTTCAGCGGCCAAACCGTAAGAGAGATATAAAGAGAATGTTTAAGTTATAAGTTGAGAATAGTCTGATAAGACTACAAACCGGATGTGAGTAACGTAGCACTTCCGGTTTTCGAGAAATCACGTGATTTCTATTTCAAACGGAACCACACAAAATCTCCGAAGTTCTCAATTAACTAAATACATTTTTTTTTTGGTGAACATTTGGTTCACTGGTTTGCTAGTTTAATTATAATCAGTGATAAAATGATAAAAAAAAACTAAAGCAATAATGGCATTACCTACAATGCAAAGAGATGGCGCTGCCTTGCAGCTTAAGGCTAGGAAAAATTTCGACGCGGCGAATAGGGCCGTGGTAGCATAATGGTCAGTGCATTCGCCCGGATTGCGAAGGGTGCGGGTTCGAGTCCCGTCCGCTGCCTGGTCCGCGTGGAATTTTTTCTAGTAAACTTTTCCTTACATTTAAACATCAAGCAGTTAAATGCTTAAAAAATAAATAAAAACATAACTATAATTGCTATTTCTTCTTTCAAATGTTTAATACTTGAAAAAGTATTCATTTGACATTGTGGGTTACCTACAATGCAAAGAGATGGCGCTGCCTTGCAGCTTAAGGCTAGGAAAAATTTCGACGCGGCGAATAGGGCCGTGGTAGCATAATGGTCAGTGCATTCGCCCGGATTGCGAAGAGTGCGGGTTCGAGTCCCGTCCGTTGCCTGGTCCGCGTGGATTTTTTTCTAGTAAACTTTTCTTTAGATTTAAACATCTAGCAGTTAAATGCTTAAAAATAAATAAAAACATAACTATAATTGCTATTTCTTCTTTCAAATGTTTAATACTTGAAAAAGTATTCATTAGACATTGTGGGTTACCTACAATGCAAAGAGATGACGCTGCCTTGCAGCTTAAGGCTAGGAAAAATTTCGACGCGGCGAATAGGGCCTTGGTAGCATAATGGTCAGTGCATTCGCCCGGATTACGAAGGGTGCGGGTTCGAGTCCCGTCCGCTGCCTGGTCCACGTGGATTTTTTTCTAGTAAACTTTTCTTTAGATTTAAACATCTAGCAGTTAAATGCTTAAAAATAAATAAAAACATAACTATAATTGCTATTTCTTCTTTCAAATGTTTAATACTTGAAAAAGTATTCATTTGACATTGTGGGTTACCTACAATGCAAAGAGATGGCGCTGCCTTGCAGCTTAAGGCTAGGAAAAATTTCGACGCGGCGAATAGGGCCGTGGTAGCATAATGGTCAGTGCATTCGCCCGGATTGCGAAGGGTGCGGGTTCGAGTCCCGTCCGTTGCCTGGTCCGCGTGGATTTTTTTCTAGTAAACTTTTCTTTAGATTTAAACATCTAGCAGTTAAATGCTTAAAAATAAATAAAAACATAACTATAATTGCTATTTCTTCTTTCAAATGTTTAATACTTGAAAAAGTATTCATTAGACATTGTGGGTTACCTACAATGCAAAGAGATGACGCTGCCTTGCAGCTTAAGGCTAGGAAAAATTTCGACGCGGCGAATAGGGCCGTGGTAGCATAATGGTCAGTGCATTTGCCCGGATTGCGAAGGATGCGGGTTCGAGTCCCGTCCGCTGCCTGGTCCGCGTGTATTTTTTTTTTCTATTAAACTTTTCTTTAGATTTAAACATCTAGCAGTTAAATGCTTAAAAATAAATAAAAACATAACAATAATGGCATTACTCAATAATTTGGTATACAGGGTGTTACAAAAGTCCGAAATAAAACTTAAGGGTGTGGTTGTGTTCCTTATAAGGAATTACCTATGAAAATTTGACGCCTCTCAGACCACTTTTGCTTTCTGATTAAATCAATAAAAATATTGTTTTACATCTGCCTATGACAACCCTAACTAATGCGTACTATTACTACTACACAAACAGACGCCCCGCCTACCTGGGCGCGCGCGCGCGCCCCTTCGCCCCTCTCGCTTTATGAATGAAAGTTCAAGAATTATCATACTTACCGACTTGAGGAATGATGTGTATCAGAATAGGTAGTTATTATCAGAATTCTCCAAAACACGCCACAGTAAAATAAGTAAAAAATCAAAAATTTCACTTTTCACTATCAACACTTAGGTTAAAAAAACAAAGTTACAAAAATGGCTCAAAATGTGCGCCCCCTTTTTCCACACACAAAGTCGCCC